CAGCAGCTCTTTTTGTGTCTGTCGGATGTGCGTTAAAAATTCTTTCTCGAAAACAGTTATGCGTGATGGGTCCAATTTGTCCAGATGTCCCTTCACACCGGCGTAGATCACTGCTACCTGAATTGGACAAAATATGCTAACTGAAAGAAACAGGTCGACTTTCAATTACAAAACAGCCAAAACAAACGAATAAAAAAAAACGCTCCGGCAATGTGATTGCTCTCTTCCCACCGTGTTAACATTGAAATAAATAGCGGCGCGTACCAGCGCAGCCGGTGCGATCGTGTGTTTTGTGCAATTCCGTTCACCGAACGATTTTCTGCTGATGATTTTCACTGCTTTGTACTTTGTTCTGTGCAAAAATGATTGAAATGTTGTCTGGTTCTTACCATTATAATAATCTCAGAAATTTTCAAATTTTTATTCCTCACTTCTCTTTTTTCCATTCTTTCCTATTGTAACTTACTATTTCAAAAAACAAGTGCAAACGTTCTGCAGCAGTAGAAGCACCACAAAACTGGAGCCAAATTACTAAACCATCCTCCTCGGAACATATACTGAGCTAATTAGGCGGTATATAAAAGTGCTGTTGGTGATATAAAACGCAGCTACCGAAAATTTTTAAAACACACACACACCTGTTCCTCGATAGCCATTGGCACATACTGACCCTGCTTGAGCAATTCCGTTAGCCGTACGCCACGATTCAGCAGCTGCTGCGTTGCGGCATCTAAATCGGAGCCGAACTGCGCGAATGCAGCCACTTCACGGTACTGCGCCAATTCCAACTTCATAGAACCGGCAACCTGGAAATCATCAGCAAGCTCCATCAGAGACATTCCCCTGGCACAAAAAAGACACAGATTCAGACTGACAGAGCAAATCGGTGATGAAATTTTGACTAAAACGAAACTCCCGTAAGACAAACGCACAAAATCCTTCTCTTCTTCCCAGGTTATTTAAACCCATCACAGGAAGGGAAGAGGAGGGGAGGGGAAAAGAAACGAGTTAACAAAACAACAAAACTCAATCGAATAAGTCAGAAATACCCCCAAACATGTTCGTTTCATCATGAGACACGCAAAATTCCTCTTCCAAAAAACGGGGGATAAAAACATCCCGAATTTTGCTTTTGCAGTGAATGCATAATTCGAACGCATATCCTCAAAATGCTTGACAGACACCTAAATAATCACCAGTTCCGATTGCATTTATTTCACCCAAGGCAAAACAGAGAACCACTAATAATCGATGATTTCACGTGCGTAATTCAGAGTTTGTAAGAATCCCAGGAACTGAATGTGTAGTGGTTGAAAATTTTTGGGTCAAAATCGGCGCAGAACTTCTTAAGGCATACATATGTCATCATATGAGCCGCCCGATGTTCAAACAGAAATAGAACAGAATGGAGGGGCCATAACCTGTTTCATTGCTTTTGTCTGGGCCGCTGATCCGACTCGTGAAACGGATAAGCCAACGTTGATTGCTGGTCGAACACCCTTGTAGAACAGCTCGGTTTCCAGAAATATTTGCCCATCGGTGATCGAAATAACATTGGTCGGAATATAGGCAGACACATCACCCGCTTGTGTTTCGATGACCGGAAGCGCCGTCAGTGAGCCACCACCGTGTGAATCATTCATCTGCAAA